TTGCCAATTCTTTCTAAATATTACCAAAATATTGCCAATCTTTTCTAAATTGTTACAAAGTATGTTGCACTGATTTGATTGAGTTGTTAAAATTTCTCTGATTACACAAAAGTCACGTGTGGTGCATTTATGGAGGGAGGAGTGGATTGAAAAAACACCATGCAGTGAAGAACATAGAGGGTGTGCATTTAGCTCTAAGCCCGAGGCCGGGACAAAGACATAGCATGTGTTTATGGAGGGTACATTATGAAGATCTGACTATTCATTTTTGAATATAATTAGTGTTAAAATTTCATCAAAATTTATCAAGGTCTGAAATCAGCTCAGTAAGTTGTAAACAGTACTTGTAATTACAAGTTTAATGTATCAAAAATAGTGAGCAAGGGAGATATAAATAAAATCAAGATGATAACTGTCATTTATTTATTTTCAGCTACATTCAGGGTGACAAATATTATTTACAAGGAAAGAAATAATAAGCTGTTCATTCCAAATTTATTTAGTTTAGTTTAAATTCTCTGAATCAATTGGGAAATGTAAATTATCAGTGACCTAAGGTAACGAAAAGGCAAAAGAAAATATCTATAAAAATTGAATGTAGAAGTATTAAAGATGATGATTAATTGAACCAAAAAATCTTAAATTCCTAAACTCCTAAATTCCTAATTAATTTGTTTGTAAAATGAGTGCTATCTTTTAAGTCCTTGCTTATAAATAAAGCACTCGAATATTACCATGATTAGATATCTAATGCTATATTATGTATATTACTATTTTTTTAAAAATAATTATTATTATGATTATCATTATTATTATTAAATATCTATAAATAAATAAATAAATAGTACTATTATTATTATTACTATCAAATATTAAATTAAATATTAAAAAATTATTTATCCTGATTATTAATCCAATTATTATATTCATATTCATATTTTTTTTCATCATCATCTAAATAACCATCATCACCATCAGATGATGATGATATAGCAACATAATTCTCAGGTATTAAACCAACTTTACCATCAAGCTCAGCTACTAACCACCCAACACATTGTTGATAATTTATTGTTAATATATCACCTTCTTGAAAACTCAATTCTGATGTATTCTCTGCCAGGAAATCATATAATGCACGAGCTTTCTTATTTTTATATTTGCCATCATCTTTTTTATTGGTGTGATTTTTATTATTACTACTATTATTACTATTACTATTATAACTATTAGAATAAATATTATTAATATTGTTATCATCATCTATAATATAATCATCATCATTATTGTTATAATTGTAATAATCATCATCACCACCACTACTATCATCATCTGATGATGCAATCAGATTTTGTCCCCAATGTCTTAGATCTTCTATTGGAAAAGCAAAATCCCTTATTTTTATTAGAATCTAAAATAAATAATTTAAATAATTCAATATTTTATATTTTATGAAAATTATTAGTGAAACTGTAAGAGACTATTATTACCAAATCCTGATTTGATTCATCATTTAATTTTTGTTGATTTATGTCATCATCTTTTAATATCTCATTATCATTATCCTGTTTCTCTTTATTCTCTTTATCGTTATTTTGTAATTTTATTGATTCTGAATTGATAGATTTTAAATTTAAATTATTATTATTATTATTTGTTTCGATGAATGAATTCATTTTTAAATCTATAATAATTACTAAAATATTAAATTAATATAATATTAATATATGTTGAAATATTAGTTATTAAAGAAATAAGTTTTTAATTGTGAGGTTTACTACTAAATCTTACCTTCTAATAATTGAATATAAAGTTTATAATTTATAATTGTAAATTATTTATAGTAAATTGTTCCCTGTTTGAAAAAGAAAAACCTTTTATTTAAATTTGTTGATCATTCTAAAATTAGTAGACAATAAATTGCACACAATGCCTGACTAATCTTAATTATACAAGATGTTATTCCCCGTGATAGCTCCCTCCAATAAAAATCCGATAAATGAATTAAAATAAAATAATGCATTCTGACGTATACATGACAACAAAATTTTAAAATTTAATGGAACGTTTGACCATATAAACGTTTGGAAATCTAAAAAAAAAAAAAAAATTTAAAAATAAATAAAACGTTTGACGTATGCGTGACGAAACAAGAAAAAAATTAAAAATTAGAACATTTGAACATATACATGTTGAAAATTAAGAATTAAAAATTAGTTTGCAAGAAAACTAAATTAGTGAATGAAACATTTAAGGGTTTATGTTCCCACGAGACATGTATGTTGTAATATATATTATATCCTATCGTTCGATTGTAATTGTAAATAAAGTGCTCGAGGACCTATGATAAATAAATCTTGCTATCAATATAACCGCAACTCTGCTATTAAATATTTACTTATCTACTTATCTACATAGAATCATAATAATCTACTTATAACACCATTATGTCCACTAACGATAACGATAATTCTGAGGCTGCCATCTATGCTGAAAGGTTGAGAGCGCGTCGACGCCTAATTATGCGGGTTGTTCGTGAAAGAGAGAGCAAAGAACACCGAAGACATCGCTTACAACTACTTCGGGGGAGAAAAAAAAATGAACGTATTATAAATGCTACAACGAGCATTGACACCCCTACATATACCAGTTTTGCGTCATTCCATTGGGAGGATGGAGAAAGTTTATACTGACTGCAGGGCACTAATGTGGGTGGACGAAAGGAAGAGTGACTCATCCCGCACTAACCCAAAATTTACTATTTGCTGCTTTATTCACCTGGAAAAAACATCCTGTAAAAACACGTAAAATAAAAATTACTTATACATACACAAAATCTACTTATTTCACATGGCTCTATCAAGGAAGTGTGTTACAATTTGCTTCGCAAATTGTTACGCGCTAGTTAATATTAAATGACATACATGAAATAATTTCGATGATCGGATCTTGCGTTTCAAAAATAATAATTCAAAATATCATGTGACCTATCTATAAGAATAAAAAAATCGTTACGAGTAGAAAATGGGGATATTTTGAATGTGTAGACCATGCATTATTTTGTCCAAGCCCCTTACTTACATTAGCACTTTAATGCGGAAAACACCTACTACTACTACTTTGTACCATTTAGGTATAGGAAAGTTTGTTTTTCTATTACCATTACTATATGTACATTTCGTATGTATTCAGTATTACTCATTCCGTACATAATTTTAATAGGATGATATGCACATGAAATTGCGTTTCAACGAACTTTAATTGTAATTCATTGAAACAATTTTCACCGAAGCAATTTTCATTGGGTTAATTCATTTATACATTAGAGGTAGAATCAAATCAAAGCGAATCGAATTCCTAAAATTTTTTTAATGTCATATTTATATTACACACTGAATCTCAATTTAGTGTACATCGATTTAATTAATAATAATAACATTCTTCTCAATATAACGAATTTTTATGCTTTTATTATTATATTAATATATGAAGCAAAATTTTTAAAAATCCGTTATGACAATAATTTAATTAAGTCAGGTTTGACTGTATTAATATAATGATAACGGATTTTTTCTAATTACCCAACTATCTGCTAAACCAAGATTGTGTACATATTTAATTTTAAAATTTTTTAATTGATAAAGGATATTATTTAGTGATGGTGGCTGAAATTATTTTAAAAAAAAGGTAGTTTCGTCCAATACATATAATAAGTATTTGAATCAATCTACTTTATTTTAAAATAATTCCATTTCAGCCATTAAATTTAGTAGGCCAATTAATTTCGGCCACTAAGTAAGGTAGTTTCGGCCACCATCATTATTATTGATAACTATAGATGGGCGTCTAAATTGTTAAAGTCAAAATAGTATTTAGACAAAAATGTCTAAATGTCTAAATTAATATAAATAGTAATGATTTGCTTTAAATACAACTAAAAGTCACGTGTATATACACAAAATCCACAAAGTTCAGTAAAATTATCCAATAAAAAATTCAATTTCAGCATTTTAGACAATTGAGACCATAATTGTCTAAATGTCTAAATTAATTTATATTTTAGACATTGTCTAAATAATTTAGTTTCAACCACCATCATTATTATTGATAACAAATAATGATAACATATAAAAAAGTAATACAATTTACAATTGCAATTCATTAAATCTAAATAACTAATGAGTGATAGTGATTGCTATAGATTGAATCAGTTCGAATCGAATCAAAACACAATTTGAAAGGTGGTTTGATTCGATTTTATTCGATTCTAACTTAATTGATTCAGAGCCTTATTGATTTGATCAGATTTGATTTGATTCAGTTTGAATTTTGTTGATTTGTTCTGAGCCTTAGCTATAGTCTTACATGACATAGAAATCAATAACAAATATAAACATTAAAAGTTTTTTTATTATCCATAAGGAAAATGTAATATAAGTGACACGGGCATGATGATTTATTGTTTCAAGAGGTGCAAAGTCAAATAAGCAGAGGCCATGATTTATCCTCCCTGTTTGTTCTCTTGCTGAACATCTCTCCTGTTGTTTTTCCCAACACTTTATAAAGTAGAGGAAGGTATTGCCACCAGGCAGATTTAACATCTTGTTCAGCCAGTGATAAACTACCAAGGATTGTTTTACATAACTTATTATGGGTGTAGCACTTGTGCATTTCTACAATAACTTGCTACCAAGGAAGTTGGGCAAGTTAAATAGCTCTGAGGCAATAGTGATTTATCAAATGATTTTTCTTATGGAAGGAATTATATAACTTTTTCTAGCTTCTATGCTACCCCAATGACACAAATGATCACGTGAAAGTCACGGGTGCGCATTTAGAGAGGGAGTTTCATATAAATGGGAATGAAAAATGACTGTGCAGTGCAGGGGGAGGGTGTGTGCATTATCTCTAATCCCCATGCTTGGGAATGAATGTGTGCATTTACAGGGGTGTGTACTTAGAGGGGAAGTTGACTGTAAATAATAAGGGGAAACCAAAGGATAAAGTTTGGGAACATTTTATGAAGATGTCAACTCCCCTTTACCCCAAAAGTAAAATGCAATTATTGTAATAAGATATATGAAAAGGCATTTGAAAATTCAAGAAAAAAAGTTTCATTATTCTATTAAAAGTACTGAGGTTTCCTTCTTATAATACACTTGATAATTTTGTGGGTACAATGTCTGGAGCAGAGCAAAAAAAATAGAATTAATACTAGCCAAAGCATTATATACATGTCATCCCTTCCTTATAATTTCAACCTTAGTCAAAATCTCTTTTTTAATTATCTCAAAATCATTATTTTTGCTGTTAGGGCTATTTTTATTTTCTGTGCCCCATATGCAATGTACAAAAGATCCCAGAGTTGGTTTTTTCTAGAGACAGTCCTGTGCAATAACTATATTATCATCACATTATAAAATACAAAAGGCAATGAATGCTGTAGTAGTAACAAACTTTAATTTATTAATATTTGTATTTATATGATACATGTATATATATTATAAATAAAATAGCAATAATATAATATAAAAATGACACAATTACTTGTACTAGCAATTCATGACTCATTAAGTTACAACTACTTCTTACTGCTACTACTATTACTCCTACCAAGAATAAAACCCAATGACATGAAATCAAATTTAGATTTCATTCACTTGTCAATTTATGCCATCGTCATCACTATACAAATTGGTTAACTTTTGATTTGATAGTCATGTACCTTGTGTGTTTCATCAATCTGAATGGCTCGCCCTTATTTTTAACATATTTGACCACTACGTCAATATGTGGTTGCAAAAAATTCTTCTTGCTAAAACTTAAACTCAAAAAATTTATTTTAATATTATTTAAAAAGTTTTCCAATGATTGCGTTGTAAATAAAAAGTCTCTAAATACCAATTCTTTTAGATTAAGTGGTAAATGATTAGTCAATTCTTCGTAATTGCATATTGGTAATTGTCTATCAGTAAATGTTATATACAATATTTCTAAATTATACGATGTGTCCAGAAATGATAACAGATTATTAAAGGATTCAATGTCACCATCCTTCAATACTAGTCTACAGTCCGTCAAATTTTTTGAATGCAATCCCATAACTTTCAACACTTTTGACAGGTCATTTTGTGGTGTTATACCAGCTAATCTTAAATTTTTTAATTTGTTGTTTGAACTTTTAATTATTTTAATTATCAAGTCTGACGAAATTCCCGGATGAACATAAATTTCCAATTTTTCTAATTCATTGAAATTCAAATCTCTCAACGGAAACATCTTTTCTGGTGTTAAATTGATACATTTCCAAAATATTAGTTCCTTTAGATTTTTAATATGTTTCAATGGTTCCACTGTCACACAGTCAATGAAATTACATCTGTTAAATTCTATTACACCTAAAGTATTTTGATGCAATGATAAAGAATCCAACAATCCAAGTTTAACTTTATTTGTAAATAAATTATTTTCCGGTTTAAATCCTAATTTAAATACCTTCAAACAATTTTGGACTCTAATCAAATTATTTAATAAATTTAATCCATTCGAATTAATTTCACAGTTTATTATTATTTTTTTTAATTTTGAACATTTCTTTGTCAATAAATATAAATCTAAATCGTTGTAATTTCCATCTAATTTCAAAACACTCAGTCCATTTAAACAAGTTAATGTGTTTGGGTTACAATTAGTTAACGATTCTGCGAGTATTATATTATAGCCATTCAACGAATTCTTCCATAGTATTAAAGTTTCCAATGATGGTGTTTTACTCATAATTAATTTTAAAAATTGTCTTACTAACAGTCTTAAACACGTCTCTTCTTCGTCACTTTTAATTCCATTTGATAAAAAGTTATCAAACCATAATTCAATAACAATCATCATTGTATTACAACATAAATGTCTCAAGAATATCGGATAATCAAAAGAAGGTGATGATTCTTTTGCGCTACTAATACTATCGTTGTTATTGTCACACATTGATTGTAAAGACGGTGGTGATGATAAGAAGGCACAAGAAGATGTAGATGATGATGATGATGCGGTAAATGCGATCCAACCTTTAAGTAATTGCAATGGAAATTTTTGATCATCTTCTAAACATTGAAAATAAGTAGTCATTATATGATAATTGTTTTTTCGATTTTTTAATAATTCAAATGGCCTGCTCCATAAAATCGGTACCGCCACTCTACACCAAGTTCTATTAACTAACAATATTGAAAATAATGAATTTGGATCTTCCTTCAAATACTCGAATATTCTTAGAAGACATTCGGATATACTGAATAATGGCGAACTAGTTTTAATAATACTACTACTACCATTACTACCAATACGATGACGATAACTATGGTTATAATTATGATTATGATTATGATGATTGTTATTGATTGCAACAAAATCTGTTAAAGTCGACGATGACTTAGTTAATGAACCTATCCATTGATATATTTGCATATTAATTAATTATGATTTACATATAAATCATCTCTACTGCCTACACCTATTTTACACCTACTCACCTTCGTCCATTTTCATCATTTTATTAGATTCATCGCTATAACACAATTGAAAATCTGACATTTCGACAAATCTGCTTAAATATGATATGATTAATAATAAAGATTATTATAAAAAAAATTTTAATGATAATGATAATTCAACATTTCGAAACATGAGGGTATTTTTTTATTTTTTAATAAATTGAACATACCAATTGATTTTCTTGAAAATAATAATGAAAATTTCAAAGCTAATTTTTTATTTGTTACACGAGCGCAAGTTTTTGTACTTATTCGGGGCCCGTGTGACGCGCGTGATTGATTATCATCATAGTGGGGTGATTTTTTTAATATACTTAATTATTTCACCACCAATTAGGGATGGGAGAACAACATAAATGAAATTTATTAGCAAATCGTTTCGAGCCAAAGCCTACTAGAGATTGTTATTTAACGGTGTTTGGTGTTGAAAGTTATTTTTCAAGTAAATGAACGTCTCGATCAATTAGAGAACGACTTTGTCGTTCAAAAACGATCGATATTAATTTTGTCTAAAAACGAACCAATTGATCACCAAAATGTTACCTGCTAAAATGTTATTCCCAAATACCTACTACTACCTAAATGTGTGTATATACACAGTAAATCGGATAGTTTGGACAATTAAGGAAAAATTTCCAAAAATCCGTTAAACGAGAAATCCACTATACCGAGAAAGTTTTTATTCTTGAACTTTTATCCACAAAACCGAGATTTTTAATTAGTATCCGTTAAATCGAGATTCACTGTGTATTTAGTTATTGAATTTGCATCGTTATTTAACTATTTAAACATGTGTCCATGAATTTGTCTTAATAACCCCATGAATCTATGGTGTAAAACATCTTTCTTTCATCAAATTTTTACTGCGAGTCAAATTAACTTCAACTTTAAAAATCTAACAATTTTTGAATGATAATTATAATATTTTGAAACGTTAGCATTAATTAGTGTTTGTTTTTCAATTCTGAAATTCATGCAAATAGAAGTATAAGCAAAAATACCTTTTGATCTTCACAAAACCTCGTTTCAAATTTGTTCATACGATCTAGCAGTTCTAAAATAAGGGTCAACCAACCAATAAATAAAGACGACACGCTTTTATTTACTAAATGCGTAATTTTTCAGGAAATTTAATAAAGAATTCAATTTTAAAAACATATAAAATTTTTTTTTAAATATTTATTACAAATGCTTAATGCAGTGTTACTTGATGATCTAGGAAATGTTGCAACACAAACAGGTTAAACCAAAACGAGCTAGTAAGTCGATGCAAACAATGTGTATGATGATGATGTCCAGTTTTTGGATAATTACTTAAAAAGCTTGCAGTGTTTACAACATATAATAAAAATACTGATGAAATTTATTTTATTATACATTTAAATTGTGATTTTGATTATTACTCTTATCGTCACTACTATTAATAATATGAATTATATTACTATTGCTACCTATGGTATTGACATTGTTATCAATTGAAACTAAATTGTCATTGTTAATGAAAAACCATTCACCTAATATTAAACCACCCAAGACAAATAATATTATTAATTCAGGAAAAGATTCAAATACATAAAATATCCAAGTATATTGGTCCATATTATATGCAGAACTGGAGAATGCTATGAATAACTTGTAAGCCATTTCTATTAATAATAAAAATCCTACTACGTATAATATGAAAATTTTTAATTGTTTATGAATTGGTTTATTATTGCTATATTTTAAATGAAAATATGTTATTAGTACCATATAACTTAATAGTATTATGAAAAAACTTGTTGTTGAAATTCTGTGTAAAATATTTGAAATATCATTTGAATTCTTGTTAATTGTATATTTTTTAATGATTAATGATGTTGGTGGTGATGATAATTCCGACGTGTCATCTTCAGCTCCATTATCGTCAAATTGTTTAATTACTCCTATTAATCCAATTAATGAAAATAACGGTAATAAAAAATATTTGATGGTTCTTATTATTCGTAAATCTGATTTTGTAATTTTAACAGTAGATGACGTTGACGATGTTTTTGATTCGGTGATTGTGACGACTGAACTTTGATAGTGATCATTGTCATTGTTATTACTACTATTATGTTTACTATCCGTATTAATATTGCTAGTAATTGTCTTTAACCAGTCAGTTAATAAAGTGAAAATTGCTAGAAACATTAGGAAAAAACTTGTTGTTAGTAAGCTTGTTGATAATAATGCGTAAATCTTCGAATAGTCTTCCTGTGACCAAGCAATCCTTGTTGAATATGCCAAAGTTCGAAATAAACTAAATAGGAACAAATAGCTATATATTGCTCTATGCGTTTTTATTGAACGGTAAAGGTGAATAATTGTTGTCGTTGAGAATAATATTGTAAATATTATTGACGGTATTAATGTTGGTATTGCCATGTTAAATATTAATATTGTTATTACTTCAACCATTTTTGTTTATTTATTTATTTATTAATTAATATTTTTTAGAAGAATTTACAAATTTTTTTTAAGCTTAAAATTATTTTACAAATATTTAAAGTTTTTTCTTAGTCTTGGCACAAGTTAATTTAAACCTGATTATTAAATTATGTTTTCTATCTGAAAACGACTGAGGGAATATTTATTTCATCATCGTAAGGAAAAAAAAATTTCATAAAATAGTATATGATCTTTTATTATTATATGAACACTGTATGTTGCCAAGCAATTATAAAGAAACTAATTAATGCCAAGACTTTTATATAAAAAAGAACTAATATATAAATATATATATATAATAACAATATATATTATTTTGGATGTTTTTGTTAAATATTTGGATTTGTGCTCAAATACGAATCCCTCTCTTACTTTAATTAATGAATTAATGTGCGCACACATTATTAGTAGCACATTATTGTGTAAAAAGTGCATAAAATTTATAGCAAAGTGAAGTTTACAAATTGAAAGTTTTAATTGTATTTATTATTATTATGATGAACATTCAATCTATCCTTTTTTGAGCGTTCAACCATACACACAATGACATTCTTGAGATAGTCAAAAAGTTGGCCAAGATTTAATTCAAATTAGCCAAGAAAAGTTTTTATCAAAGTTGGTTTATTGGTTTATGGATTGATATGAGGTTATGATTGACCTAGAAAACGCGCGCCTTTTGTTCTTATATATACAATTTCACGGTGAAATTATTTTGGATCGCGCGTTCCATGTTACTAATGTACATGTGGACACTTTTCAATCACGCTGTGATAAAGGCAATTTTGAGTTAATATCACCAATATATGTAATTCTTCATATAGGGAATTTTTTGGCTTAGAAGCTGTACCAATTTTGAATAGTGATACATGTGGGCTCATTAATTTCCATTTTTGATTTGAAGAATTAGAAGTAGTTGTCGAGGGATCTGTTTCGTCCAAAAAATTGTTATTTGATGTTTATTTCAATAGGCCTATTCGTTAAATGTCCTTGCATCAACCGATAACAAAACGTTGCTTATTGGTTTAAAATGAAAATAGAATAAAAAATTTTAAACCAATACAATTTTGTCACACAAAATTCGAAATATATATCACATTTCATTACTATGTAAATGTCCCGTGCGATTTTCCTTTGAAAGTTCAAAAACTAAGTTCCTTGAAATCAGTGATGAAAATCGGGTTTGTCGAAGTAACGTTATTATCCAATCAAAATTTGAATTTCTGGATATTACTTCTAAATTTGTACTAGTTACACAACGACTGCGGGTCTTTTCTGATCGATTTTCAAAATTAAAATAATTTGAGTTTCTCTGTTCATTATTATTATGTACAAAATTACAAAGTCGAAATTGAAAATCGAGATTAAACCAATAAATAATAAGCTTCCGTGTTCTTTAAACTATGACAAAATAGCTCTACAACTCGGAATTTTTATTTACCGGATTCAAAAAGGTCTGGAAGACCCCAATATGTTGTGTTGACATTTATTAAATTATCAAATAGTTCTTTCTCCTAGCCTTTATTTTCCTTGTTCGAAAGTATCTCATTTAAAGTTAGGGAGAACACTATTTTTTAAAAAGTAAATCTATATTAATTCTTTCTATTTCGATTTTCTGTTTCAATTTTAATCGTTTCCAAGTAAAGTTAATACTTTGGTATAAATGATCGCCTTTTAACAATTAAAAAAAAAAAAATCTAGATAGGGTTCTAAATTTAGTTAAAATTTTCGGCAAAATATGTTCTGAACGGCCCTTCTTGTGTCTTTATCTGGTATAGGGCATTACTCAAAAATTTTGTGCCCCAAAATATGTAACTTATATCGTGTAACTAGAGATGGGGAGTTTGGTTTGGTTTCGTGGAACCGCTTTAAACGGTTTTTTGAACAACATTACACGAACCCTTATTAAATACCAAGAAGGCAATGACTTTCAAACGATAGAATTCCTTTTGGAAATATGTACGCCATACCAAAACCAGTTTTCAGCATGTATCCGATCATAAAAAAATTATTATTAAATAATTATTTGTGTCACATTTTGAACATGTGCAACCAGTGGAATGGCCAAAAACTAAAAGGCTTTTTAATCTATTGATTTGATTTATATGATGGCGAAATAGGTTTATTTCGAAAATCATGGTCTCAGCTATACTTGTCGTCGGAATTCCATAATTACGGCAAATTCGGCATTACGTATAAGCCGTAAATGATTTTCGGCATGAG